GCAAAAAAAAAAACAAAAACACAAAGAAATAAACATGGCCGCCGCGCTTAGGCGAGAATCATTTTATCATCTGCCTAGTAGACCATGTTTTACGCCTCTAGGTAGGCTACCTACACTTTCTTCTAACTTTATTAGCAGAGTGTTTCAAAAACGGAAAGCTCCAACACTCTCAAGTGACCAAAATACGCGTGAATCCAGCCGCAAACACGATCGCGATCGTCGGAGCTATTTTCCGATATCGTGGCTGGTTTCCGGAACACTAAATAGGTGCTACCTACATGCAATATCAGCAGCTACGCTACTCGTGTAAACAAGTCACTGTCAAAACTGTGAATGGTGAGAGAACTTTGCTCGAAGAGAATGTTCCAGTACACTCCTGAGCGAATGTCTTCAATCTTTTGCCACTTTCCTTTCCAGCAGTACGCATTGTCACACCGTTTTAATTGGCCATAATTCTTCTGTGTTCGACACTCCTACACTCCTACGATGTGCTAGAAATTCAAATAAAGAAACATTATCGTCGAAGAAAATGTGTTTTTCGCCGATAGCCTTACACTTGTCAAAAAAATCGCTAAAGGTGATAACGCTCTTCTCAATCCTGACGGAAAACCATGTAAAAGCAATCTCCCTTCTGTGTATCAAGCTGTTTTTTATGAAGATTTCAACGCACAGGATGCTTTGGAAGATGTACGTGCCCTCCACTGTGTCCTCTTTCAATCCCCGTTGCAGCTAACAAGTGCTGACATTGTAAACAACAGCATGTAAAATCCGCTTCCTTCGCTTTCGTAGACATGGACTTTCTTGACGGACGCCACGAAGTTACGCATGTAAACTCTCAAAGACTACTAGTCTCTGCGGAGTTCTATTGTTATCGCTATTGTTTTCATTGAACAAAGACTGAATGCATTATTAATGTATGGGGTTATATGGTACTCTTGCCGCGGTCTGTGTTACGATGACTTAAGGAGGCTCGAAAGGTTTTTTTTGACCGCGCGGAGAATGAATTCCAAGATACACCCAAGCAAATTACTCGCGAGAGAAATAAACGATGGCGCGCGCGATCAGATCCGCGGCCGAGTTGTAAACAAACATGGCCGCCATGAGCGTTTCAAAATTGCCGGGTCCCTCTATTGTTTCCAGCGGAATTGGCTGTTTGAGAAACAAAAATGGAAAGTTACTTCTTGAAAGTAGGTTGGAAAATGTTTGGATGGCAGGACTTTTTCCGAAAGTGGTCAAAAAAAGTTTATTTAACGAGCTAAAGGAGGAAGGTGAAGTCAACACCCCATCAATAAAGTCGCGACGAGTGTATTCGGTACGTCGTACTTTGTTCCGCGAAAAATTTAAGTGGATACCTCTGAGTGCTACGATTTGCTTCGCATTGAATTTGATTCCTAATAAAATGAAATGACCGAGAACTTTCCTGAACAACTCACCGGAAGATGGAAAGGAAAATGAAATCATTGTTGGATCCAGGATGGTAAACATTGACAGTATGTTTTATGAACGGAAATGGAGAAGTGTAAATGTTGCCATAAAAAAAAAAAAAAAAACAAACATAATTTTCAGTAAACAAGAGATCGTAAAAATGTAGATGAGACTTTAATTCTAATTCAACCAGAAACGGTAAAATTAAAATAAAATATTCATCTTAAACTTGTGAGAAAGATTGTTGATATTTCACTCGATAAACTGTAAATTACAACTACGAAAATGCAAACTCGCATTTGTTAAGAAAGCATTGCAAAATTTGTTTTGTTTTCCATTTAAAACGGAATAATGAAAGTTCACGGCCATGACAGTGGCAAAGAGAAAAAAAGGAAAATGAAGCCAAGGCATGTTCATACCTCTAGTACCTTGAAGAATAGAGAAATTCGCGAAATCTGTGATGACCAACAAATTACTGTTGTATATAAAACCCTGATTTCCGCTTAGTTTGGCGCTCATGACAATCTGGAAGACTTCAAAGCAAATTATTTTAACTCCAAATTGTTTTCACTCCTCCACTTCAAATTGCACACAAACAATTATACTGTCAATCATGGCAAATGTGCATCGCCGAATGAGGCCTTCGATCAAGCCATCTTCACGGAACAACGACAGGATACCATACAGACGTCCGATGGAAAGCTTCATCTTTCGACAAAAATAGTCCAGAAGCTGGCGGAGGCTGGTTTGTCTCATGTTACACTACAATCTCTGCACGAGAAACTCAAAATTAGCGGCCTCAATGTTGTACTGGCATTGGCGCCACCTTCAAAATCAACTTGTCATCATATATCGAATTCCGCAAGAGAATTCTCTCCGGAATGTTCTTACATTTCCACCTGTCGTAACGGTAAGCAGTCTGAGTCGCTCAAATGATGACTTATTTTTCAGGAATGTGGAAAATCACGAAACAATGTGAATCCATCTTCAGGATGTACGATCTTTTCCGCGCTGATGGCATCCACCGAATAATCGCGCGGACACGGACTCATCCTCGCGAAAATCAGCCCTGGAGTCAGCGGTATCGTTTAAAGCGCGTGACCGGATTTAAAAGTGCGAGCTAAAATTGTAAAAACCGGAAATAAAGCTTGCTAAATTGATGAACTAATATCTCGAAAATTAGTTCGGTGACCTACCCTGATTTTTTGTGTACAAATTATTTTCATCATTACGCATTCCTGAAGAAAATTTAAAAAAAATTTATTGAGTGGAAAATTTTTTACATTTTAAAACAGCATTTTCCGACATAATTCAAGTTCTACCACTTAGTTTTTTTTTATATCACGTAGACAGATAGAGAATGTGATGATGTTAAATAAATTTGAAAAAAAAACTAGGTCACCGACTTGGTTTTTGAGATATCTTTCAAAAACTGAGTTTTAGAAGGTCTTTCAGCACTACTGTACTGTTGCCATGGCAACATATGATGCCTAACGAGCCCCCTTAAAAGATTGCCCTAACATAGTGTTAAGGATATGTCAAGTCATTATCCCGATGATAAGTTTGACAGTCCTGATATCTTTTACTGATTGGCACTTGCTGTTAATTGTGGAAAACCCTTTCGAGCCTCCTTAACAACAACGGTGGGAGGAAGCACTGGTCCCCATTCTTAGCAAATCGCCAAAATCGCCAACGTAGCCACATCGCGTCGACCAGCTCCAGGAGGAACAAAACATCCTGATACTTTGCACAAAATTATCCAGCACTTTGAAGGCAAATAGAGCAACAGCTATTTCCAGGCGCAATCCACCCAGAAGGTGACCCTCTCTTAGCAAAATAAAGCTCTTTAGAAGAGCGCGAAGGACGTTCGGCGAAGAAGACGTCCAAAACCTTGTGGCGTCCGTAGCAAGTGTCGTGACGTGCACAAATGTTGCGCATGCGCAATTTCCCATCTTGTCGAGTCGAAATGTTTGGAAATTGGAAACTTTTGGACTTACGTATTTCCGTTTCCGCTCGATGAATTTTTTTTATTTTTTGCACGTTAACTTTGAACGGCTCTGTGCGTGTTTTACAAAAATGCGAAAAAATTCTGTCAGAGAGAAAAAAGGTTAACGATGAATTCTAAAAAAGGCCTCTTTTCCTTAAACTTTCTGACAATTTTTTTAAACTTAACAGTCAAGCAGACCAAGACAGTTTAAGGACGCATGCAAAATCTAAAATAAATTCACTGTCCAGTTTCTAAGAAAATTCAAGTCGAGTCTAATTTCGGACCCAGCATTGCAAGCCAGCAACGCTGCCATGGCAACGAATTTTTCAATATACTTACAACAAAGTGATTCTTCAATAATATCTTTATTTCAGGGGAAAATGTGATCGCGATTCGTTAAAGCTAAGCTTTGTAATTTTAGTTTAAATATCTTGCATCAGAAAAGTGAAAAACTATATCCAGCCTCCTTAAACAAAATAAGATGATGCCAGAACCGACGAGAAGCTAGAGAAAAATGGAAATCAATGGATAGTTCGTCGTTTAGTTCCTAAAATCGACCATTGACCAAAACATTTGTTCGGGAGTCCCCTCGTGTACTAAAAGAAGCTATAAATTCTCATGGAAATAGACTAATACAAAATTGTTCTTGAGAATTCGAGATTGAGGTACATACGAAACCAAATCTCCCGGTTGTATTTTGAGTACCACAAACACGCCGTGGAGATGTTCACGTGCGCTGTGCAATGGTTTGCAAAAACCAACACATGTTTTATCATTAATTATTCCTCTTTGTTAAAAAACCATAACTCAAATTTCGCTGACACAAGTGACGATGCGTAAACAAACTTTTCTTTTGAAAGTTAGGTCTGTTTGCTGGTTTTTATCTACATAACGTTTCACTCTTAAGAGTGGTTGGTATTGAAGTATGACTCGAAAAAATACTTTGCATTAAACTTTGAAGTTAGGAATAGAAATACTGGACAAATAGTTTTTCCGAAACTGTTGATTAAGAAATTCATTAGACTTTAATAAATGACAAATGTGATGATGCAGACGTTGTCTCAAGACATAAATACCCACGTTTTGCTGTGATATATTCCTTTTGAAATTATGGAACACCAAAATAAAAACTCTTTGTTATATTAGTTGCAGGCAAGTTTTTAATTATTTATCTTTTTAGCTGTCTATTCATTTGAAAAGAAAAAAGTATTCGTCTTTTCAAAATAGAGGCGTTCATTAGTTCTATGCTAATTCCATGTGTGTCCATGCTCCTTATACAAATAAAAATTTAACATGTGAATGAATTCGATGTTAGGATTGGATATGCATTGAAATATATACATATCTCAATTTTTTTTTTTTGAAAAAAAAAAAACAAAACGACCTCTAAACATGTAAAAGCTGATGTTATTGAGATAAAGTCAAAACTTTGGGAACGCATCCTTTGCTAAACAAGTATTTAGAACTATCCAGATTAGGTTACAACCTGACCGAAACAAGTAATTATACATGTTTCGGCCAATGAAAGCCTTGTTCCAACATCACCTGCGGGCGAATTGAAACACTTCCTGTCAAATAAGGCTTTAAAAAAGGATCATCTTTCGTGCCCAAGACGAGAAGTGACAGGTATAAACTCATCAGAAGAATTGAAGAACAGAAAGTTTTTTTGAACTTGTTAAAGTTAATCAGTATGGTTGAAAACGAGAAACCTTGGCCCGAGCCTGCTCCAGATTGGCCTGAAGCGAAAAAAACTTGGAAATTGGCTTGGCCATTTCATGTTTATCTGTTCACAGCATTGAACGTTTTGGTAGTGATTCGCGGCACGTACGAATTAGTCAAACGGGGAAAAACGCATTTTATGAGGAAGGATCACCGCTTCCTTATGAATTTACTTCTTCTAGCGTTCGGCTTAAGTCGTACAACGTACTTGCTTTGGAATCCGTACGAATCAGATCCTGATGTAACTAAAACAGTGCTGGTAATCTGCATCGTCATGTTTGGTATCGGAACTGCGTGTATTGTATCAGCATTTAGTTTTGTGCTGTTGATCGTTCTAGAAAGCACTCGCATTTCCCTTGCTCCCAGTAAGTTTCAAAACAGAGGATTTTTCCTTGGACTTTTCATCGTCAATGTTATTTATGTGATCGTGTCTGATTTAATCGTTGCGCATTTCCACGAAGCTAAGGCGATGATCGTCGTTTGTCAAGTTATGTTTGCTGCCTGGGGATTTCTAATTGCGTTCGGGTTTACCACAGCTGCCGTACGACTTTGGCGCAACTTGAAAGCTTCTCGCCAAACCTCTCAGTATGGCCCTGTTCTGGCTGCCGAGAGTATGAAGATCACAAGATTGGTCAGTTTGCTTTATTCGGCCTCGTTTTGCGGAGTGTTGATGTTCTCAACAATTGTTTACTCAGCTTTTGGCGCAACAGGAGTGAATAACAAATCTGGATTTGTCAGGATATGGCCTTGGATTGTAGTGAAGACGTTGATGCGAACATTAGAGGTACTGATGTGCTTGCTTATATACCTAGTTGCTCTAAAGACAAAAACTTCTAACTCTACAAAAAATAATCAGATCAGCAACGACTCGACGCTTGAGAGGATAAACTGCTCGAATCAAACATCTTGAAGCACCTGAGACAGTTTTTTATTCGAACGTCTTTTTCCTTAAAGTTAAAACTCCGACCACCTTACACGGGACGTGGCATCCCTTCATTGAAAGGAAAAATTACTTAATGGCACTGCCTTTGGAGAGAATAACCTTGGTTGCTCGTTCATTCTAATTTATCATTTGTGACCCCAAGGAAATTTTTTAAATTTCTGGTGGAAATTACACGAAAATAAACGATTATTCATTTGTTTACTTTTTTTCTCCATATATTCATGCTCTTCGGTGCTGATGTTTTTATTCCACGCTTAATTTACAAATTTTGTACCAGATATGCGTTTAAGGACCGGAACGGGTACAAAGGCGAAGCTTTTATTTTTACTCTGTGCTTTTTTTTGTACTTGACACAATTTGTGATATCAATTATAGCCAAATTAAGGCATGATCGAGAGCCGCTCTTTTGTTTTTCCCATTTTCAACTAGTACATCTAGAGACCGATTGATATGAAAAGTACTTAAGGCATTTAATTTAACCATTTATTTGAACTTATCTTGCTTTGCTTTTTTCCGCCTACGTACAAAAATATGGGTAAAGTGAATACTCAATATCTTTGTATTGTTTAGGGATAAAAATTGGAAAATTTAAAAGCTCTGCGGATAAAATGTATATTCTTATGAGACTAAGACCGAACATTTAAATAAATAATAAATCAAAGAGTACTTAAAGTGCACCTACACCCAAAAAATTTTTGTCGCTTAACGAAGTAAGCTTATTATTTTGAGTATTTCTGCGCAAAAATTTTTTATTTGCTCAAATCTTCAATTTTCTATGCCCAGTCAAAATACGGAAAATCGGCCGCCATCTTGCCCCACGACCGAGTTTAAAGAGGAATGGCTCTAGTGGGTAATGTGACGTCAAATCGAGAACACGAAAGTCTGCATTTCACACATTTTCACTTGTTTGGGAAGGTTGTAGTCGATAATTGTCCGAAAATATGCCGACTAAGTGTGTTGTAGAAGGATGTAGCAACGTGCGAAATTTGCAAGAGGGTATCGCGCTTCATACATTCTTCATACAACACACCTAGTCGGCATATTTCGGACAATATCGACGACAATCTTCCCAAACAAGTGAAAATGTGTGAGATGCAGACTTTCGTGTTCTCGATTTGACGTCACATTACCCGCTAGAGCCATTCTTCTTTAAACTCGGTCGTGGGGCAAGATGGCGGCCGATTTTCCGTATTTTGACTGGGCATAGAAAATTGAAGATTTGAGCAAATAAAAAAATTTTTGCGCAGAAATACTCAAAAAAATAAGCTTACTTCGTTAAGCGAAAAAAATTTTTTGGGTGTAGGTGCACTTTAAGTTTNTTTGTTGCAAGCATTGATATGTCGCTTTAAACGTTAGATGAGATGTAAGCCTAAATCTCTCAAGATTTTTTGTATAATTTGCTGTAACTGAAACTTTTCCAATCCCGTGAAGTTATTTCGTCGCACGGGCCACGCAGGTATGTCGAGCAACTGGGGCTAATCTTGAGTTAAAATGAGTTAAAATGAGAGGGAACCGGACCCTATCGGGGATGGAGAATTGATCGCGATCTAATTACGCCAACATAACTCAACCACTCAAACATTATTCATTACAACGAACGGCGCAAGCGAGTTATTCTTTGTGATAATCGAATCTCTTAGCGGAAATTAAAGAGGCCGGTTGTTTTTCTTTCACAGACGTTAACATGTTTGATATGTTAAGTAAGAGCTCAATATCCAATGTAATATTTTTCTTCTAAAATTCACTAAATCGAAACATTTTACCGTTTGGCACGTATGTATGTGTAACAAGAGGTAAGTTAGAATCCAGAGTTGTCAATTTATCCTTAAGAACCTCTACACTAACTCTTAGAGCAACACTACTGATATAAAATCTTTGGACATTTAGAAAGGCAAGCTTATACAACAAGAAATAGTGGTTAATTAAATTAATGTAAATAAGTGCATGGAGTAGGAGAAGCTTATTTTATTTTTTATTTATATTGGTGATAGAGTAATCACATTTAGTTTAAGCTGAGATAACTTTTTCATAATCCATTCCGCCATGAAAGTTTAACAAATTTATTTGGGCGATACAAATTTAACATTAAGATTTATAATCCTCGTCTATTTTTCGAGAAAAGTTTTCATCAATTGCGGAACCCTGGTGACGACATGTGCGCCATGGTTGTATTTAAAGCTAATCATGCCGATTTATTAGCCCCTAAGATTTTGAGTAACTGTCGACTTGATTGTTGTTTGCAGACTTAATATTTCTTGTCTTCAAAGCAACTAAAAATATCAGTAGGCACATCAATGTCTCGGATGTTCGCATTAATGTCTGGACAACGATCCACGGCCAATTCCGTACTAATCCAATCTCATTATATACTCCCGTGTCGCCAAAAGCTAAGTAAAAAATTGTAGAGAACATCACCACTCCACAAAACGATGCCGAAAAAAGCAAAAACACCAGTCTTGTGACTTTCTTACTCTCAGTTGCCAGTCCAGGGTCGAACTGAGCAGTTTGCCGTGAAGCCTTTAAGTTTCGCCAAAGTCGTGCGCCGGCCAGAGCGAAGCCCAATGCAATCATAAATCCCCAGATGGCAAGTAATACTTGACAGACTAGAATCATTGCTTTGGCCACGGGAAAATGCGCAACGATTATGTCGGAGGTGATTACGTAAAGTATGTTGATAATACATACTCCAAGGAGAAAGCCTCTATTTTGAAACTTGCTTGGCACAAGCGAAATACGAGTGCTTTCGAGAATAATCAACAGTACGAAACTAAATGCTGATGTGATACATGCAGTTCCGAAGCCAAACGTGATGATGCAGATTACCAGCTCTGTTTTGGTAACATCAGGATCTGATCCGTAGGGATTCGAGAGGAAAAGCACTGCGCGAGTCGAGCCAAACACTAGAAGAAGTAAGTTCATAAAGAAGCGGTGGTCTTTCTTCAAAACATGTGCTTTCTTTAGTTTGATCATGACGTACAAGCTGCGAAAAACCACCAGAAAACTTAAGGTTGTAAATAGATAAACGTGGAATGGCCAGCACCACTTCCAAACATTTTTCGCTTGGGGCCAATTTGGAGCAGGTTCAGGCCATAGTTTCTCGTCGTCAGGCATATTGAACAACTCGAGGATACAGTTTCATCACTTTGCTAGTTCTCACGTAAATACCGTGATTGCATCTGCATGGTACTTACCACGAAGTGGCTACACTTTTGAATCAAGTCAGAAATGGTTTCGATTCTCATGCAGCTGGCGATAGAAGAACGTTTTTCATTGGTTAACTTTTTTTGGACTCTCGTCAAATGTTTCAAAAGTGCTCCATCTTAGCCTCACGATATCTAGGTAATTACTGATAAAACCGAGCTGTTTTATACAGGATGTGTACTAAAGGTTCTTAATCAATACAATAACACGAATTTAAGGACAAATATACACGAACTGTCTATTTTCAGAGCAGGGATTTGAGTTTTTTAGAGAAATTTTATTGCGATTTAGATGACAATTCTAAATTTGTTTTAAGTAAATCCAGCTTTATTTGCATAATAAAAGTAAACTTCTCATTTTAAAAAAAGAAGTCCTTTCTTTTTTGTTTCTGAAAGGATACATTTTTCTTTGACATTGTCAAACTCCAAGGTGATGTTTCATTGGGTACAAGTGACTTCAAAGCACTACACTTTTATTGGAACTGTTGCGTGAACAATTTAGGCTAAGATATGTTATTTAAGCGAAACACTTAACATCAGAATAACATCGAAAGACGATAAAATGTATTTCTTGATTAGCCTTATCTGCATAAATGATAAATGTCATTTGAATTTCTAGATTAATCTCTTAGATACGCACAAACATCAGCATATTCATTGTCAGTAAAAGGCTTTACATTTTAGCTTGAGCTTAAAGAAATTAATTAACAACAAACATATAAACAAGAGTTTCAGAGGCAATTGCATGGTTTCGTGTTTATTTGGGTAGGTTTGAAAGAGAAGAAAAAAGCATATTTGGAAACAGCTTCACTCGATTTGGAATATTCTTTTATTTCCAAAGATAGGTTTGGGATTTCCGACATTTTTAAAGTATCAAACATCATTCGAAATTTGAGAGCTCGACCCAGAGCCAGTTCGACAGGAAAGAAGGTTTCCTGTTAGGCCAAAGGCATTTCGTGCTTTGATTGCGATTTGTATATCACTAGGACTGAATTCGAAATCGTCGCGATGGCTCATGTTCAATATGTCGTTACATGATCTAGGAGAACCGGGTCGAGTACATCAAAACGAGGCCTTCAATGTGCGTTCATCAAGTCGAGGCTTTAGATGAACACCAAATCAAGGTCGTAAGAAGATATCAAATCGTCAAATCGAGGCTATAGATGCCCATCAAATGGAGGTCTAAGATGTGGTTAAACCTATGGCAAACCCTTTTGAAATTCTTGAGAGAAAAACAGATAAAAAATTAAACAAAAATTATGGGTGACATAGAGCTACCTAGAACAATCAATTTTATGGCCACAATAATTGCAGCGAAGTATTTGATTTTACATGATTTAAGTGTTGATTTGACAGTCTGCTGTGCTGTTCTGTGTTTTACGCCGAGCAATTTCATGCTGAAAAAAATTTACCGCTCTGCTAGCACAGGATTCACTTTGACTCTTACTCACTCGCAGATCTAGCCATAAGCTTCTTCTAGTACAATACAATTTCCAGGTTGATATTTCATCATATTCAGACTCATTCGACCGAGGAACAAAACTTCTTATTCTTAAGGAAGGTGAAATTTAGAACTGTTCATTTGAAAAATCGATAGTTTATTTCGTTCGATCGCAAAGTTGCACCGTCGTTGATTTAGTCCGTCAGAACAATTAATATTGAACCGTCTGCGAACGTCTGCTACGTAATACCTAATAATCTCTTAATAATAAGTCTTGACATTTCCGTTTTAATTGCGGTTTTCTTCAATTCACGCAACTTGGTGTTTTTATCGACTTACATGACCAGGAATTTGCCACTGAAATATTTCCTTTTACTGCCAAGTCCTGCCATGGTTAAATTACATCTTTTATTTAATCATCCAAAAAAACAGAGTCATTAATATCTAACAACAGTGCGTGTGAGCAACAAAGCACAGCGCTTCGACAATGCAATATAAAAGTTCTGTATTGGTCTTCGATGGATTAAGCGTAGTTTTAGCGTGTACATGCGGTTGCTGATTTATCGCAGTTTTCTTTCTACAAGGATCGCGATTTTATCATTCAATGTCCGAAATGAAAGTAATTCTAATTAGGAGACTTCATTACTAATTGGACAGAGAGCTGGAAGTTACCGAAGACTTTCATTAACGCGAATGATAGGTGTTTTGCTTTTCATATTGAAATGTGCCTCAAAACAATATTTGCCAACGCAAACAAATTACATTTCAGAGCGGAATTAATATGCTTTCAACTCCCTTTTGAAGTTTGTGAATTCTAATTATGGTCTTCGTATTGAGGGCTCTAGAATCACGACTCTCTGCAATCTCATCATTCACTCCGGTCAAGAATGGAATCGTGTTGCAGGTGAAACTAGAAGCACACGCTAAATCGTTACAGGGCTACTTCCACTTCTAATTTACACTGGGATAAAACTCTTGAAGTAGCGAGTAAAAAACATCCGGTAGGAAAAGTGTTTTGCTGCGAAAACCGATTTGTTTTCTGCGCGAAGACATCACTTACAGAAAAACTTTAGTTGAACATCATCTCTGCTCTACAAAATATTGTCTATTCCTGAACAACGAAGGTCTTTGATCGGGAATTTGTGGTTACTACGAACTGGCTCCTAATGTTTCACAAGATGTCATTTATCTGTATTGTTGTAGCCTGGAAGCCAGTGTAATTCTCCGCTGTCAAAGAACGACGTGTCCGAAGAAACAGACACAGCCGCTGGGGAAATAACAATCATAGTGGAATCAATCTTCAGATATCACTTATTGAGATTGTGGACAAAATTTTCGATCAAATGGATGCGTCAGTCACTGACGGAAGTATGAACAACAAAGATGCGTTTAAAACTTGTGGGAGAACAGGAAGACGGGGAGCTTGCGTTGATACAGATATTGAGCGTGATAAACTACAAGAAATCATTCATAACGTTGAAAAAGTTTCTTTGGACGATGATGCTTCAGGAAGCACGCAATCGAACCAGGGCGAAAGTAAATCTTAGCAAAGTTCTCAGAAAGATTTACAAAATTTAAAGTTTTCGCCGAAAAAAATTAAAAAAAAAACTCTTGTGCACAACAATCCCGCCTTCTCATCCACTATGAATAAATTTGCCATAGAGTTTAACGCCGGTGGGTGTTTAGAATGGATTATTTGAATCAATGGAATTTTTAACTTCTGCTTTATAGATCACGTCCTCAGAAAATGTTCACATAGTTATTCATATCTGACATGAATACGTACAGGCTTGAATGCTACGCAAAGTATACATATGTAAAAACAATTATTGATAAGATGTAACTGACCATTGTACCAAACTTCGTCGGAGTTGACAACGTTTGAATATCGCATTCCATCGTCGATGGTTGTGTATTGGAGACTCAATTCTTAAACTCCTTTTCTATTTAAATGTTTCTTTTTTCAAAAATACTATTTTTAACTTGTAAAAATTACACGGTTCCAAACAAAGTGCTTTTTGCTAGCAGTTTTTGCTATTGTATTTGCTGGAGAGTTACCTTTCCTGTTTATTTCTTATTGCATTGCCATTGTGAATTAAAATAAATATTTACCTTTTTATAGTGATCGAGAATTGTTGATTTAAAAAAGGTATTGATTTTCAATGCAGATCTGAACTAAACAAGCCTTCATGGCAGCAGGTGGACATAGAACTAATTTCACCGCTGGCTATGAAAATAACTAAAATTTAATACTTATCTGTTATGTTTAAACATAGTTATTTGCAGGCAAAATAATTCTGAAGTGAGAGAAAAATTAGGCAGCAGCTATTATCTTTTTTCTTATCAGTTCGTTGCAGTTTTATTGTAGTTTGCACAGATTTCATGTCTTTGATGTGGTCTACTGCTGAAACTAATTTTTCTTCAAGGGTGACTTTTCAAGTTACCGATGTTCAAATCTACCTGGTGGGCATTCAGTAAGCCAAGATGCGATTTGACGATTTCGATTTTTTCAACGCACGAAACGTGATAATGAATTTGCCAATGCTAACTTACAAACACAGCAAATTTCAAACAAAGTCACCGCAATCGCTAACTCCTAAAATATTCAGATGAAATTTTTTTTTCGAGGTCCAATATTTCCTAACCTTTGACCAGTCATAAATCAAACCAGTTCACTGACTAGCCAATCAGCAGAAGCAAAACACCAACATTGAGCTATTTTTGTTTATATTGTTAAACTGTTACCTCAAAATCTGACTGAAAATTTTAATTACTTTTCTAACCATGCTGACGTTACTCTACTTACGTATGCGTCACGACAATAAAACGAAAAGATTGCTGCAATATGGCTTTGATTTCTGAAAAAAGTACCGCTTAAGCTTTCCAAAGGTTCTTCCAGAAGATAGGCAACGAAACCATTCAAGGCGATCTCGGCCCCGAAATGTACACAATTATTTTATTTCCACATCTCTGATCGATGAGAAAACAAGAATTGAATGCACTACACTAATCTTTTATTACTAATACCTTATAATTTTTACAGTTATACTGTAACATAAGTTAAGTTTGAGTCACGAGTCAAGCTTGAGACAACTTTTTTTTTTTATCTTAATTATGAAATCATATCGTACACACTATTATTGTAGCTTTAAAGAAAGAAGAGCCAGACAAAACACCTTTAACTACAAGTGGAACAGCTTACTCGGAATTCGTCTGAATTTCCCGTATTATATCATGTATTGTTACTTTAGCGCTGTTGCCATGTTATAGAATCGTCGCGAAGTTTACAAAACGTTTCAAGGGCATTTATTGTCCGTTTAGACTTATCAGAATCTAAGTGACAACCACTACTGATACTCACTACGAAAATAGTGGTCTCGTATTATTTTCTAACGTCTTTTTTCTTGCATACATACAGCGTATTTCCTGCCGAGTTAGGTACTCCACACATTATGTAATGATGCTCCGAAACTCTTTAAACTGAAGTGAAAACTGTACATCACTAGAAAACAAGAAACGTAGGACAGGATCATTCTGGGGAAAAAAAAAAGTTTTAGAGCAAAATGACATGTGTTCTCCACAAGTTTGACTGGGGAGAGAATCAGTTAGCTCAGTAACGGTTTTATTTTTCTCAACGGGATCCTTGTCAATGCAAAAAAATGGTCGTCGAGTGCGAGGAATGCTGAGATTCTTTTTTATACTCTTAGTCAGTTTAGACAGTTTGTCATTGAAATGGGACTTCCGTCTCGGGTGTGTGTAATTAAGAGGTGGAATCTGTGGGAACAACTCGTAGATGCCTACGAAATTACTTCTTTGATCGCAGCTATGAACCATTGCAAGATTAACTCTCGCAAACGGCTGCCGGAAAAAAATTTAATGTTTTATGCTTCTAGCTTGGTGTTCTTGCATCCCTGGTGCATCATTTTGACACACAAAAAAGAAACCTAAAAGCAAAAAAAGGGAAAAAATTAAATTGATTCGCGTGACTCGAACCTGACTCGTGATATGATACAAATCATGACTATAACCTTCCTTCAATTTGTTTTCATTGTGAAGCTGGAAATCTAGTTATCAGTTATTATCATTACTCTGATTTTTCCCTTTCACCCCGAAGATCTCATTAGAAATTCTTCTTACTGTCTGCCATATAATTCTTATGATGTAAAATTAGAGAGTTTGGTATTGCATCACTAATAATCTACTTGTCGATATTTTCCTTATTCTCGTCATTTATCTTTTTGACATATATATATATCTTATTAACCAAGTGTGAGAGGGCCGTACTGGGAGAATATCGGCCCGAGGTCTTTCACCGAGCGCAGCGAAGTCCATACAAAAAAGACCAGGGCCGATATTCTTCCAGTACGGTCCCGAGCAAGCTTGGTTAATAAGAGATTTATTATACGACTGAAGTTCAAAGGGACACAAGTGCGGTATCATTCGGGACCATTCGGGACAGTGCCCGGTCCAATACTTAGAGAATATTGGACCGGCAATAGAGCATTTTGATTGGTTGATTTTAGTTATTGGCCCTCTGACTGCCCGAGTCGTGTAATAAAGTTAATTATTCACTAGGGAGATACCTTGAGAGCTTCATCATGATTCTCGTAAACTTCAGCCAGTTTCCTTGCAATTTCCAACCATTTTGTAGTTTCACTGTCAACAAAGAATTAAGTGTCA